AATGATGCACCAGCCTTTCAATCTATGAAGCCAGAGGCAAGAGACACAGCAGGTACGGCTTCCAGGACAGGTGGGAATGGGGTGTGGAGCCTGCCAAAGGTGCCAGGCCAAAGGTAAAGTTCCTGGAGACAGGTGACAGCTGGGACCCCAAAGCAGATCATGAGAAGCTGCGGGAAGGGGTCTAGAGCAAGCCAACCAGGGCAGCAGACCCCTGGAAGGTGCCGGGAGAGTGGTGGAAGAACAGTCAGCAACAAGGATGAGGAGGCAGGGGGAACAGAACTAGGATGGCAGGGTGCCCTGACCCCAAGGGGAGACTGTCGTCAGGTAGGAGAGGCACTGTGCTCTAAAGGGGCCGACGAGGATAGAGGATGTAAAGAAGGCCCAGGAGCTGGAAAGCAGGAGATGAGAACTCCACGGTGAGAGCACACGCCGGCCCTTCCCCTGTGCCGCCCTGAGTGCCCAGCACATAGCAAGGGCACGCCTGAACCTGCACACTGCACAGGACGGACACCAGCGTGACAGGACGGTGCAGGTCACTCACACACAACACTGGGAGCGTCGGTCAGGCTCAGCAGGTCATCGTCCTCCTGGTACTGCGCGTACTTGAGCCGGGAGCACTGGTGGGCCGCGGACAGCACGTCCTGCAGCAGGTCGATGCTGCGCAGCTTCTTGCACAGGCTGACCCCCCGCAGGGACTCCTCGTGATGGGCGATGGCCGTGCGCAGGTGGCACTTGCCTGCAGACAGAAAACCACCACCCATGTGACGGGGGACACAGGCAGGAGAACCAGCCTAGCAAAGTGGACGTTCTCTTCTAAAGGCTCTGCCAGGCCAGGCGCGGTGGCTCACGCCTGTAATCCCGGCACTCAGGGTGGCTGAGGTGGGAGGATTGCTTGAACGCAGGGGTTTGAGACCAGCCTGAGCAAGAGTGAGATTCCATCTCTCCAGAAAATAGAAAAAGTAGGCTGGTGGCTCATGCCTATAATCCTAGCACTTTTGGGAAGCCAAGGCATGTAGATTGCTTGAACTCACTGGTTTGAGACCAGCCTGAGCAAAAAAGCAAGACCCTATCTTTACTAAAACTTGAAAAACCAAGGCAAGAGGATCACTTGAACCCAAGAGTTGGAGGTTGCTGTGAGCTATGACACCACAGCACTCTACCCAGGGTGACAGCCTGAGATTCTGTTTCCAAAAAAAAAATAGAAAAACTAACTGGGTGTGGTGATGGGCACCTGTAGTCCCAGCTGCTTGGGAAGCTGAGGCAGATAGCTTGAGCCCAGGAACTTGAGGTTGTGAGCTGTGACGCCACAGCACCCTGCAGGGTGAGAGAGTGAGACATTGTCTCCAAAAAAAAGTTCCTTCTCAAGGCTCGGTGCCTGTGACTCAAGC